CAAATACTATGAGTCCACTAATAGGAGGTGCTGCACATTACTAACTCATCAAACTGAGAGGAAAAGTGGCAGGATCATTGCTGAGTTAGGGAGAGAGGAGTTGAGGACTTGTAAACTGGGTAGAGAGTTTTGGTTTTGCAAGATGAAAAGAACTGTGGAGATTGGTTGTCCAAGCTGGCTTTATTCACTGTCACTGAACTGTACATTTAGGGTAAAGAGGTACATTTGAAAATACAATGTCTTTGGCTTGCAGGTCTTTCCTTCTGTGGCCATACTTTGAGTACTATGTTCCTTGCAGGGAGGATTCAGAATTCATAGGGTGTCTGCCCCACCCTTTTTGTTTTCTAAGGGGAGTTGATATTCCACCTGAGATTTGGTAAAAATATTAATAGATATTGACTCCATCCTGTGGATTCTGCCTTAATTGCTTTTGTGTAGGCTTTGGGGTTTCTCTTTTCAACAAGCTCTTAGGTTTTTGATAAGCACTCAATTTGCACAACTACTCTTTGAGGAACAACAATTTTACCTCACTACCTTACCTTTTTGCCTTTGCTGTCTATGTTCCATGGCCCAGTGTTTATAGATGCGGTTGAAATTTGGAGTAGTAGCTGGAATTTATTTTCCTCTTTTCCTAAGTCTTAACCCCGGGCCAGCGGGCAACGTGGTCTCGAGGTGCGGGTTGGGGATGATAATAAACCAGGCATGCATGCACACGCACGATTCCCAGACAAAAGGAAGCTCCTTTATTGTTCCGATTCCCTCCTTATACATACCACAGGCCCCGCCTCCATTCTTTTTCCCCTCCCCCCCCCCTTGTTTGTACAGCGTTTGAGCATTTAGTCCTTCCAGCAAAAACATACTCCCTAATAATAGTATTTTGAATCTATCATAAATAGAGGATATATGTATGGGACAGTAGAATCATTTTTAACAAAAAATGAGAAAATGTCTTGATTTCCACCAATAGTGGAGAGGTTAAATTGTGTTAGAACTGTAAAAGGGAATATTATATAGCTGTTGAGTTTGGGTGATAAAGCAATTTTGGAGACATTTATTTTGTGTTGATTTTAAGTGTTTAACTGGATGAAAATAAAAGGAGGGGGCACTTCAGGATGGTGAGATATGGGTAACTTTACCTTCATTTTATATGTGTGTTAATTTATTGAAAAATTTGAAGTCTTTTTACTTTTGTTATTAGCAAAAGTGTTATAAAGCAGAGTAGCCATTCTCTCTTATAATCTGAGCCCTCTATCATAGGATTTTCTAGTGGCCTGGCATCCAAGGTAGGCCAGTAAGGCAGTGGTTTGCCAGCACTAAGTCTAGCCTGGCACAAAAAGATTCCTATACAGCTTTAG